TTCACAACGGTGACGATAGCACAACGAGCATATTTTAAATTTGATTTTGATAGAATACATTAAATTATGATAGATAAGCGATATGTTTGTGATATAGATTTGTTATTTGAGTGTGCGTGTGTTATCTCCTCGGGAATAAATTTTCATCACATTTGTCGTTTCCTGATGTACTTTTTAACAAGCTTTTTTTGCTTGACAAACTGATTTAGCTGCGACATACAATGAAATTAATCCAATTGAAACAATTCACTTCTCAATACCAACTCGATTAGGCGCATCAAACGAACAGATATTCGACAGTAATTGAAGTGACATTCATTGTCTCCTTACGTTTAACATCTCAACTGAGAATACCTTTTGGTGCCACCCTAATTTTTTCAACTTTTACGCCAGGATGTAGGTTTCTTTAATATTACGATCATACCACAACTCGCGAATGCACTCTCAAAATGACGCTGTTTCAATTTATTGCTTTCCTTTCCAATCGAGTGAAACCTTTTTCTTCATTTGACGGTTTTCCTCAATATCTCTAGAATATCAAGAATCTACGAAAAAAATTTTGCAAAGACATAAATTGAGATAGTTACGAGTGAAGGCAATTTTTTATCAGAAATGAGACATATCAACTCTTGAGGTTGATAGTTTAAAAGCACGAAAACCATTCTGACTATTAAGATGGACCAATGAAATGCTCACTTTCAATGATGGTCTCAAGAAATCAGACATAAACCAATACTATATGCGAATAACGATGAATATTTGAATCGCATCAAATGTATCCAATCAAATAACAACAAATGATAATGATGAAACAATGAATAATAACCAAAAAAGCAACTGAATAAATGATAATCGTTTGATTAAAAAGGTTTAGCTCAAAACTGCCCACTCACCTTAACCAATTTAGCGTTATTCTGAGCTGATTCTATCAGACACAAACTTCCAACGTTACGTTTTATCAATGCGTCGGCCAGTTTTGTGTTATGCATATTGAATAAGGCGACGTTCAAATCACTGAATGATTTTTTGCTAGCAGATCGTTCTCGAATAGCCGATAGAACGAGCGCTGAAANTAAAATGAATCTTAATTACTCCTCAGATTACTTTTCAAAAAATGTTCAATCGAGAAACATTTAGAGAAAGAACATGATATCAACAATAGAAGAAATTCCATTTTCTAAATGATTATCCAAATCAGCAACGATAAAATCATTTCCGAATGACTGCCTCAAAGTCGCTCACTAACACGTTCAGAATTCGAGGATATAAAAGATAAAGGATAAAAGCACTGACATTCCGCAGTTTGACTCGCGAAACCTACGCCCAGTTGTTTTGCTTGTTTAATTTCACCATCGTGGGCATAAATCTCCTTCCGAGTCATTTCTTTCGGAAGCACATCGCTTCCATCCGAATCAGTTTCGAATGAGCTCGAACCAGACGCATCTTCTATGGCTTCATCGCTGCCATCGCTATTCTCCAGATCACGAATACAACTGCTCAACTGAAAGTATGTAATCATCTCTGAGAGGTGTTCAACACCATTTGACTCAACGACAACCAGTCCATAAATAAGGAACCTCTGATTGATCATTGTTGATGAGTATCTCAGGTGAACGTGAGCCATCATCCTGATCGTTATGAAAAGGTGCAGGAACCTGACTACCAGCTATAACAGGTTCGTAGCCAGTGGTTGAAGTAGTTGGTCCAAAGAAATGACGACTCCACTCTGGTACAGATCGCAATCTTGTGGAGAGTCTTTTGAGAAGCACAAATGCCTTCCTCAAAGACATCGTTCAATAGCGATGATTACGCAACTGAAAAGTACTTTTTGAATCGAGCAAACTCATTCAACTAATTGTAAGATCAGATGTTTCACGTATCAATAGGAGCTGATCTGCGTCTGTTCATTAGATAACTTCTTGACTGAGCACAATAAACGTTGCATAAAAATGTCCTTTTTCCTTGAACTCATTAATATGTTCAGCGAAAATTTTGAGCGAAAGCAGTAAATCGAAGCAAAGACTGCAGTAAAAAAAAAAAGAAAAAACAAGAAATGCTGCAAAAACATTGCGGTAAAACAAAAGTATTACATTGATACATATCAGTAGTTCTCACGTTCGGGTGCTCCATTACCTCTTTTGATGATCTAGCAGGCCCCAATATTCCCACCCCCTCCCCGGTAACCCTAAATTTCTTAAACGGATAATTTCACTTCCAATGAAAATCATTGTCCTAGACCGTTCTGTTGCTCATTATTGCAATTGACTGTGATCGCATGAAAAACTATTGTCTGTGACACGCTCACTTCAAACTGTTTCAAATGGATTCTCATTCTTTTCAGACGTGTTGTATTCACTCTCATAGCTATTACATGCGAATGCCGTTCTCTTCATGAATTTTTCTGATTCACTTCGTCTCATTTCAGTTCACAGTTCGAATCAAATTCTTACTCTGTAGCATATACTATTTACTAGATACATTGACGAGTGATGACAGCCGAAATCAACAATACAACAATTGAATATTATTGTTCAAGAATGTTCGACAGTCAAATGATCAATTATAGAGTGTGTTTGATAGAATGAAAATTTGACTTTAATTATTCAGTGAAATGAATGAGAAATTAGCAGAAGAGAACACTTTTTGGCTGATAAAAGTTATAAGAGCGATTACAACAGCAAGGAAAAGAATGAAAACCCTATCAGGTCCGAAGAATTTGACTTTAACTGTTGAGTGAAATGAATGAGAAATTAGCACAAGAGAACACTTTTGGTGTAGTTATGAGAGCGATTGCAACAGCTCGAAAAGAATGAAAACCCAGTTAAAACGAATGGAAACCCTGTTAGGCCCTGACGAGCTAATAATACTGAGAAAATAGGAGAATGAAGAGTTGACCTAAGTTAAAAAACACCTTAAAAACAATCAAAATATAGCAACTGTACGAAATACTAAATTCCCGACCTCCTCCATTATCCCTTGACACCTCCAAATTACCCTTAATGGGTAGTTTCACCCCCTATCCTATGACAACCACCGATATATATATTTCGCACATCAGAAGGAACACAAAGTAGACATAACATCTTAGATAAAATAC